TCTTTCTTTCTTTCTTTCTTTCTTTCTTTCTTTCTTTCTTTCTTTCTTTCTTTCTTTCTTTCGTCTTTTTCAGACAGGGTCTCACTATATAGGTCAGGTAGGCCTTGAACTCACTTTGTAGCCCAGGCTGGCCTTGAACTCAGCAGTCCTCCTCCCTTAACCTCTGAATGCTGGAATTACAGGTGTGTGTCACCATGCCTGGCTCTGTCTCCTTGATTTTCCTGAAAGAGATATATATTTTTGCAATGGTAATTAAATATTATGCCTTCTTGGATGAGACATGTGTTTAACTGGAAGAAAATCTTTTTTTCTCAGCTTTTATTTTTTGTTAGTACATGTTTGTAGTACCTAATACACACATCCCTTGTGGGGAGTTGGTCATGTATATAATGCATCTCAGGTATATTTTCATCCTTTCCTGCCCCTCACCCCTCCATCTCTTGGCCCCTTTCCCATCTGCAAAAGGTTTAGGTCCCTCCCTCCTACTATCTATTCTTTATTTATATTTTGGGTTTCTCATGCAAGATCAAACCATATCATATTTAAGCATGTATGTCTGATTTACTTTACTTAGCATTATGGTCTCAAGGGTGTCCATTTTCCTACAAACAACTCAGGTTTACCATACTTTATGGCAGAGTAGTTCTCCTTTACATATAAATATCACACTTTCTCCTTTCCTCTGTGAAAGGACATCTAGGCCACCTCCAAGATTTAGCTGTTGTGAGTTGTGTGGCTATAAACATGGGTGTGCATTTATCACTGTAATATGATGCCCTTAACTCTTTGGGGAAGAGATCTAGAAGAGGAATAGCTGGGTCTAATGGAACTTCTAGTTTTAGTTTTTGATGAATCTCTACGCTGGTCTCCATGGTTGTACTGGTTTCCATTCCCACCAACAATGCAGAAGCTTCCTTTTCCCCCACAGGCTTGCCGGCTTATTATTTGATTTCCTGATGATAACCACTCTTTCTGGGGTAGGATGGAATCTCAGTTTTGTTTTAATTTGCATTTCTCTAATGGCCAGAGATTTTGAACTGTTTTCTCATGTATTTATTGGTCATTTGTCCTTCTGAGAAGTGTCTGTGCATTTCACTTGCCCATTTTTTGATTAGGTCTTCCTTTTTTTTTTGTCTTTTTGAGACAGTCTCATGCTGTTCAGGCTGGCCTTGAGTTTACTTTGTAGCCTAGGCTGGTCTCAAACTCACAATGATCCTCCTGCCTCAGCCTCCCGAGTGCTGGGATTACAGGCATGTGCCACCACGCCAGCTAGGTCTTTTGTTTTGGAAGTCTACTATTTTTCAGTTCTTTATATATTCTAGATATTAGTCTCCTCCTGAGGAATATCTGGCAAAAATTTGTTCCCATTCTGTAGGTTGTCTCTTCATTTTGTTGGTTGTTTCCTTTGATGTACAGAGATTTTTAATGTGATGTGATCCTATTTGTTAATTCTTGATGTTATTTCTTGTGCAATTAATTGTGGTTCTATTCAGAAAGTCCTTCCCAGCTGGGCTTGGTGGTGCACACCTGTAATCCCAGCACTGGGGAGGCTGAGGCAGAAGGATAGCTGCGAGTTTGAGTCCAGCTTGGACTACAAAGTGAGTTCAAGGCCAGCCTGAAATGCATAGTGAAACCCTATCTTAGAAAGACAAAAAAAAAAAAAAAAAAAAAAATCCTTGCCTGTGCCTATGTCTTCAAAACTTTTACCTATATTTTCTTCCAGCAAATTGTTTATTTAGATCTTTGATCTATTTTGATTTTAGTTTGCTATATGATGAGATATATGGGTCAGGAGTCCATGTTCTGCCTATGGACAGGAAGTTTCCCCAGCACCACTTATTAAAGAGGCTGTCTTTCCTCCAGCACATGCTTCTGGCCCTTTTGTAAAAGATCAGATAGCTGAATGTGCCTGGAATTGTTTCAGCACCCTTTTTCACTGATGTACTTTTCCGTTTTTGTGCCACTACTGTGGTGTTTTTATCACTGCAGCTTTGTTTTTTGGCCTTGTGAGACCCTCTGCTTTGCTCTTGTTATGTGGAATTACTTTTGCTGTTCTGAGTCTCTTCTGGTTCCTTGTGAACTTCAGGATTGTTTTCTCTAGTTCTGTGAAGAATTTTATTGTTTTGTTTTTGTTTTTTATTTTTATTTTTGGTCTTTTTGAGACAGGCTCAGGCTGGTCTTGAACTCACTATGTAGCCCTGGCTGGCCTCAAACTCATGGTGGTCCTCCTGCCTCAGCCTCCTGAGCCTTGGGATTACAGGTGTGTGCCACCATGCCTGGCTTGTTATTGGTATTTTTATTGGGATTGCATTAAATCTGTGTATCAGTTTTGGAAGAATAGTCCTTTGACTATTGGTTCTGCCTGTTCAGGAACAGGGATATCTTTCCATTTCTGATGTCTTCTTTGATTTCCTTTCTCAGGATATTGTAGTTTTCACTGTAAAGCTCTTTCACTTCCTTGGTTAGGTTAATTTCTAAGTTTGTAATTTTTCTCAGTGCTATTATGAATGGTATTGTTTTTCTGATTTCTTTCTCAGTGAGGTCATTATTGGTTTACAGGAGCACTAGTTTTTGTGTGTGTGTTGATTTTGCATATGCTCCATTGTTGAATTTGGTTATTAATTTTAGGAGCCTTTTGGTAGAAATTTTGGGCTTTCTATGTAAAAGATCATCTCCTCTGCAAATAATATTAATTTGACTACTTCCTTTCCTATACATGCTCCTATGTTTCTTTCACCTAATTGCTCAGGCTAATGTGCTGAGTACTGTGTTGAACAGGAGTGGTGATGGTGGAATCTTTGTCTTGTTCCTGATTTTAGAGGGAAAATGTTCAACATTTTCCCATTTAATGCGATGTTGGCAGGAAGTTTGTCATAAATGACTTTTATCAGATTGAGATAAGCTCTTTCATATCTATATTCTTCAGAGTTTTTGCCATGAATGGCTTCTGGATTTTGTCAAAGGCCTTTTCTGCATCTATTGAGGTGATCATGTGATTTTTGTCCTTGCTTCTGTTTATGTGATATATTACATCTATTGATCTGCGTATGTTAAAGTATCTTTGTATCCCTCGGATGAATCCTTTTTGGTCATGATGTATGATCTTTCTGAGGATTTATTTGTTGTCTGCTGTATGCCAGCTTCTTGTTAAGGATTTTTGCATCTGTGTTCTTTGAAGAGATTGGCTGGTTGTTCTCCTTTTTTTTGGTTGGCTGTTTGTCTGGTTTTGGAATCAGGGTAACAGGATAATGCTAGCTTCCAGGAATGACTGTTTTTTGAGATGGAGTCTTACTTTGTAGTTCGAACTGGCTTCAAACTCACTGTTGTAGCACAGGCTGGCCTTGAACTCCAGAGTGCTAGGATTACAGGTATGTATCACCAGGCCAAGCTCCCTTTTAATTTCATTAAAGAATTTGAGGAGATAAAGTTTTAGATTTTTTTTTTTTTAGTACTGAGAATCGAACTCATGACCCCAGGCTTGCCAGGCAAGCGCTTGTGCGGCTGAGCTATATCCGCAGCCTCAGGTTTTAAATCTTGGTGTTCTTGCACAATTCAGTCTGCTGGGACTAACTGGAATGAAATCTTTTTGTTGATGTTGTTTCCTTGTTTCCTTTTTTTTTTTTTTTTTGGAAGGAAATCTTTTTTTTGGAAAAGAAAACATTGTTTTATTAGTAAATGTCACATTCATTATTACAAACTGTTCCTAAATATTGGCAACAATGAAAAATCTTCCATGGGCTGATAGGAAGTTACCATATACATTTAATTAGTCATTATTTAATTTTCTAACTATCACTGAAAGTTTTCCTATTTTTAAATGGGCAGAGGGTCAGGAGATGCAGGGATAGGGAAGAAGGGGAGAAGGGAGATGAAAAGGGGTTTGGATCTGTTATGGCTGTGTACCAGCTCCCCACAAGGAATGGGAATGTTACATGCTGCGAACATGCACTGATAGCAAATTTTAAAAATAAACATTTTCTCTCTCTCTCTCTTTTTTTTTTTTTTTTTGTCTTTTTGAAACAGGGTTTCACTATGCAGTTCAGGGTGGCCTTGAGCTTACTTTGTAGCCCAGGCTAGTCTCGAACTCGCAATGATCCTCCTGTCTCTGCCTCCCGAGTGCTGGGATTACAGGTGTGCGCCACCACGTCTGTCAGCATTTTCTCTTAAATGTTGTAAGATTCCACTCCAGTTGTTGAAAGACAGGCAATTTTAAGAAAATAATAGTGAAAAGTGATAGTTTGTGGCAATGATTTTCAGCTAGACACGGACGCGACTACGGTATTTCAAGGGACATTTCACAAGCCTCTTTGATTGGTATTTTTATTTTTTGGTCTTTTTGAGACAGGGTCTCGCTATGCAGTTCAGGCTGACCTTGAGCTCATTTTGTAGCCCAGGCTGGCCTTGAACTTGCAACGATCCTCCTGCCTCTGCCTCCTGAGTGCTAGGATTACAGGTGTGCGCCACCATGCCCGGCTCTTTGATTGGTATTATTGAGAAGGGTTATACCCTGCGTGTGGTGGAAGCCAGGATTGTTATAAAACATTCTGCATTGCATCACCCAATGCATTCTTGGGCTAAAAGACAAAACCATAAGTAGTGAGACCCTTGGAGAAAAGCTCCTAAAGGACACACTGGCCACCCTGAGATTCTCGGGATGGGTGGGGGATAAAGGGAAAGGAAGTAACAGTTAACCATTGTTCACTGAAGTGAAAATCTTGGATAAGAAGTCCTGTTGATAAATACCACCACAGAAAGATGCAATGAATGTCAGGGGCAAATAAGATAGTACAAAGGCAGTAGGGAAGAAATATTTTGGCTTCTCTCCCCTTAATGGAAGGAAATCTTAAGAGGACCTATTTATTTTCTTAGTCATTAGCTTATGTAGTACAATATAGTTGTTGACAGTTCTATTAACCTTAGAGTTTTTTTTTTTTTTTAATGTAGTTTTTAGGACAGAAAGGCAATATGAAGAATAGCATTGTGGATTGGTTTAGTACTCTTGCTTGGCCAAGAAATAAAGGAAATGCGATGTGGTAGGCTGAATAAAGTCCTGCCAAAATGTCCATGTCTTGTCTTCCAGAACATGTGGGTCGTAAGAAGAACTCTGCAGATGTGCTAAAGTGCAGGACCCTGAGGCGGAGAGAGTGGCTCTGTGGGCCCAGTGCAGGCACAAGGTTGCTCATAAAAAGAGGCAGGAAGGTCAAAGAAAGATGCTGTATTGCTGGCTTTGAAAATTAAGAGTGCGCCTTGTACCTAGAAATGCAGGAGGCTGCTGGAACACAAAGGCCAGGGGTGTGTGTGCCCCAGAGCTTCTGGGGGGAAGTGAGCTCTGCCAGTGCCTTGGTTTTAGGACTTCTGACCTCCGGAAGTAGATGGGAATAAATCTACTGTTAACTTATTATACCAGCTTATTAACTTACTATACCAGCGATAGGAAGTGATACAGGTCACAACTGATCTTTAGTGCATCCTTTCTGAGATTAAGCGTCTTAGTGACCATCAAAATGACCTCTTAGATAATAAAAAGGAAGTTATAGCAGGTGTTCTTTAACAAGACATTTATCTATTTGCAGATATGGTCTCTACAGCAGAGTCCTCTGTGGGAATTCATGAAGAAGGACCTTTTGAAACCTCCTCTTCTAAAAGCAATGATGAGAAATCAAACTTACCAGTAGACTCTGACGAGCCTGCTCAAGGAGAAACAGACAGATCCGTGGAAATCACCTTTCCAGAGAGTCAGATGGTTTCCACTGACAATGCTTTGTCTTCTCACAAGTACATTGCTCAGGGAGGTAAGAAGCAAGTTTTCTAATTCATCAGTTAAGGAAGAAATTAGATGTAGAAGTTATATAGCAAATGTTAACATATTTTTATTTATAAATCAACAGAAGATGCTTCAGAGTTTCAGATTCTGAAATACTTATTTCAAATTGATATTTGTGATGTCATGAATTCTGTATTCTCACCAGTTGTACTTCTTTCAGAGTGGGTAAGTCAGCCTTTTAAATCTTTTGCAACAATTTTTAAAAATTGGTTTTACTAAGTGTAGGAGTGGTTTCAAAATATGTCTGAGTGAATCTTCCCTATATATATTTCATAATTTTTTTTCTGTGAAATCTTCATATAACATTGCACATTAATGTTTTGTTAGATGTTAAGATTTTAAAAATTCTTTTTTTAGGATTTGCTTGGGTGGGTGTGCTGGTGCACGCCTGTAATCCCAGCACTCAGGGTTTGAGGCAGAATGATAGCTGTGAGTTTGAGACCAGCCTGGCCTACAAAGTGAGCTCAAGGTCAGCCTGAACTGCATGAGACCCTGTCTCAAAAAGACAAAAAAAAAAGAAAAAGATTTGGTGATCTTGAGTATCTTTTTTTTCTTTTTGAAGTTAGGAAAGTTATACTAAATGAATTAACTCAGGCATAAAATGAACTAAAGAGTCCTAAGCAAATTATTAGTATCCAAATGACAGCTCTTTTCTCCCAGTGGTGTAATGTGAGAGTACAAAAACAGCTGGTATCTCAAAATTTAACCAAGACATAACTAAAATTTCAAATTCTGTTCACTTTTTCATTTTTTGGTAATTTCTAAAACACTTATTACTTTCTTTAACCTGTTACATATTAGTAGAACATTTTTATTAGTGTGTATTAGTAATACAGAATAGTGAGTTTTGTTTTGAGAAAGAAGTTCATGCACACAACATACTTTGATCATTTTCAATCCCAGTGCCCCCCAGTTTATTAAAAAACTTACTGAAATATAGTATTACTAAAGGACCCAGCTGTCAGACTTAGCACACAGGAGTGCTTTGACAAATTTTGGTTCTCTTCTCATCTACTGCTACCATAAAAATAATTGAAGAAGTATTTTTATTTTTTCCCTTTTTTGGGGCAGTGTTAGGGATTGAACTCAGGGCCTTTGCACTGAGCTACATCCTCACCCCCTACTTTTATTTCCTATTTCAAAACAGGGTCTTGCTAAGTCACTAAATTGCCCAGGCTGGGCTTAATCTTTTGATCCTGCTGCCTCAGCCTCAGAGTGCTGGGATTGCAGGCATGCACCACCACACCCAGCAGAGGACACAGTTAAGAAAAGCGATAATTATAACATGGCGCTGTGATAGCCATAAGATGCTACAGACACAGGAGGAGCTTCCAGGCTGATGGGTTGGAAGCAATGGGCAGAGAAAGTAGGGATGCGTTGTCTAGGAGAGTTTCTGGAGATTGTAATTGAGCAGACATTGAAGGAGGAGGAGAGTTAGCCAAAGGAAGAAAGGCTGGGGGCACTAAGTCGAGGAAAGAGCAGTTTTGAAAGTACAGCCTTGGGAGAGAACATGGCATATGGGAGAAGTATCAATACCTTAGTCAGTGTGAACACAATGTCAGTGTGAGGCTGACAGTGTTTACAGAGATCAGGTAGAGAACAGTTTTGTTGCAAGGCTCTATCCAAAATACAATTTACAAAAGGGGGCTGTGGATATAGTTCAGTGGTAGAATGCTTCCCTAGCATGCACAAGGGCACTGGGGAAAAAAACTGGCATAGAGTTATAATATGCTAAGCTTTGTTTACTTATTTATATATATTTTTTGAGACAGAGTTTCGCTATGTAGTCCAGGCTGGCCTTGGACTCACTATGTAGCCCAGGCTGGCCTCAAACTCATGGCAATACTCCTGCCTCAGCCTTTGGAGTGCTGGGATTACAGGCGTACACCACCATGCCCAGGCTCCCCACCCAGTGGTCCTAGGGATTGAATCCAGGATTGAATCTGGTTTGCTGGGAAAGTGCTGTAATAATACTGAGCTGCATCTACTGCCTTTTGAGTTTTTTTAATTTTGAGTAAAGGTCTTGCAAAGTTGCTCAGACTGGCCTCAAACTTGCCATCCCCCTGCCTCAGCCTCCTGAATAGCTGGGATTACAGGGGTGTGCCACAACGCTGGCCTTGGTTGAAAGTCTTTAGACATGAGAATGTGGACTTTTCAACTTATGTTAATTGCCTTGTGATTTTAGAAAGGCATTTATTCTCTGGGGAACGAGTCTCGGTTTTTAAATTGTACTTTTTATTTTTTAAAACTTTAATATCAGAGGTGGAGAATATGTCACAGGTTGCTGGTCGAAACTGGCTTGAGTGTCATTTAAGAAAACGATGAATCAGTTGTTAACATTTAAAAGGTAAAATCATTTAAAAATCTAAATTCCTGGATCCTCCTGAAAAAGTAGAAGACTGTAATTCAGAGCTTCCCATCGTTTACGGCAAGAAGCTCAAGGTGAACAGTGTCTAAGTGGGAGACATGCACTTTTCAGTGCCCTACGTTTATTTCAGCTGCTTGGCTTCTGTAGGGCTATAAATGTAAAATCCTTAGACTAAACTTTCTGAAGAGTTCCTAACATCTATAATTCTCACAATCTGAGTGCACCCATTAAAAACCCACAATATAGACTTCAGTGATTTCAGGAGGTGGAAATTTTGAGCAATTTTCCAGTTAAGTTTAAGTAAAAGGGTTTCCTCCTCTTCTTTTCTTTTCCTCCTCCTCTTCTTCCTTTTTCTTTTTCTTTTTTTTTTTTTTTTTTTTTGAGATAGGGTCTTGCTATGTAGTTCAGGTTGGCCTCAAACTCTGTTATGGTCCTGCCTCAGCCTCTTGATTCCTGGGGTTACAGGCATGAGCCATCATAACCAGCTAGTTTCCTTTTCTTCTTGCCTAAATATTTTAGGTAATTGTTTCAATGTCTTGGTAATTTCAATTTACTGGCAATTTTGTACAGAATATACTTTAGTTGTATTATTCAAGTAATAGCAGGCAACTACTTTTTATCTATTTTACAACCGAGCAACCTGTTGTAACGTTTACTCTTATGTAGAATGCTTCATTTACAGGTGGAATAAACAATGGCAGTTACCTAGTTCTTGTTCCACAGGTAGCTCCTGATTTAGTATGTTCTGAAAGTAACTCTTACATCACTAACACAGGGAATGACAATGTGGTTCAACAGTTCTGTGTGATTTTCTTCCAAAGGACTAGATCTTCTGTCTGTGACACTGTTTAATTAAGCAGGAGTAACCACTACTTGCAGCTTTGCACAGGGCCCTTTAAGGGGGAAATCAGTTTGCAGGTTGCGGGCACACTCACCTGGTTAGCACCTTTCCAATGTTTTTGGATGCTTTCTCTTAGCTTTAACAAACACTGACACCATTTATTGGCCATTTCTTTCAAAGCAGGTCCCATATAAGACAGGAATATCCAGTGTCTACTTAGGGCAGCAATCTAAATATCTTTTGCATAGTAGAAACATGTGCTCTAAGTGAATAGACTATAAAACAGAACATTCGGTTTAGTTTTTTTTTTTTTTTTAATCAGTTAGCAAGTTTAGGGTTTTTCTTTCCAAGTGTAGATTATAAGGGGATAGTTGTATGTGTGATATTTGAGAAAAATATGTGTGCACAGGTGTGTGTATATAAATTTAATAAGGCGTGAGGTCCATGATATTGGATTACGGGTTGGTAGTCACGACTCCACCTGTAGCACCCCTTTACCACACAAGTGTCAAAACAGGATCACAGTGGTGTGGAAAGACAGGAGTGCAGCACCTGAAATCTTTCTCAAGGGTATGAGGTGCTTCACAGAGTTCCATTTATGTCTTTGAACATTTTAACATGAGCTTCTTAAGAAATGGAATCGAAAGATCTGGAGGAAGAGGTGAGTGCCTTATTATTAAGCGTCTTATGGGAAGACATTACGGTTGGAATTTTGCACTGTTTGTTAAACTTTACTGTTTCTGCTATGTGGTAACTTAGATTTTCATTTTTAAACCTCAAGTGTTCTTTTGTTCCTTATTTGTTTTTATTCGGAATAGTTATTGAAAATTGGAAAGCGACATGGACTTAGGCAGGGCCAAAGGATTTATTATTTTTTTTACAAGTCCTAAAAGCTATGCTTCTGGAGTCTCCTGAAAATATTGACTCGTTGAAAAATTTTTATTGAGTAATAAAATGTTTTACTGGGGCATGCATTGGTATTAAAGTCTTTGAAATTCTAAAGATACAGTCTTGATTATGCTTGCGTTCTGAGTTTAATAAGCTATTCACAGTATACACTGTCTGACACGTATGAAAGTGTGTATTACCTTAAAAACAGAGAATTATTAAGTAATCTCTGCTCCCTTCTGACGCTGGCAGTTCCTGAAACTCCTTAGGCTGATGTGGCAGAGATCAGGGCGGGCGCAGCGTGAGTTCTGAAAACACTAGGCCACATTTCGCTCCTGAAATGTGAGCTCGGGCGTTTCTTACGTTTCCTTATACCGTAAAGCTTGTGTCGCCATCAGCTTACAGAGGGAAATGTCCTAAGGATTCACGATCTTGTGGCCCGTCGAGTTCTCTTGGGCGACTGGTTGGGAACGGGGCCGTTCTCCCTCCCGAGCTGTTTCTCGGAAGCCGGCAGAAATGAAGGCGCAGGCGAACGGTCACGCTGATGAGGGCGATGGGTGCGACACCTGTGTCCTCTGACCTCCTCTGCACCGTTCCACTGCCCGCAAAGCAAGGTCCTAAATGCAGGGGCAGGGGGCTCCCTCTGCCTCTCCTCGCCGCGCAGCGCGCGCCGGCTGCGCCGTCCCGGCTTCGGTCGGCCGCTCGCTCGGCGCGGGAGCTCCGG